GCGGCGCTCGTGCCGGTGGCTGCCAGGGCCCTGCATTTAGTCCCTCTGACCAGTGGGAGGCAGTGGCGTCTCATCGCGGTGCTAACTCGCACTTCCCTACAGAGGTGGGATTTGGGCGTATTACGCTTCTCCGCCATCTGCGCACCTTGTCTGCTGAGGTACCTGTCCAGATCTTTTCCCCACTTTTTGTTGGGATGTTTGTGCCCTTATTATTGAGTTTCAAGAGTTCTCTGTATACTTTGGGTACAAACCCTTCACCTGATGTGTATTCCGTCTCTCGCTCAGTAGTTTCTCATGAGACGCTGTCCGGGGTTTGTCCAGCGCCCGCCACGCAGACCTGACAGCAGCAGGTGACCCATCGGGCCCCGTGGAGCCCGTCGCCTGCGCCCACGGGGTGAGATGCGGCACAGGCAGCAAGGCGACTACGTCCACACGGACACCAAAGCGGGAACAGCACACACCCTGCAGTGAGGGGCTTTCGACAAATGAGCGCTTCAGACAGGGGAGGCGTCACAGGATTTCAAGCGATGCACATTTTGAATGGATTTGGGATGAAGGCTTTTGCACGTTAAGACACATTCCCACGGAGCCCCTCCATCGCGAGCTGATACCTTAATGCACAACACGCACCGAGGACGAGGTTCGTCACCGGTAGGATAAACCGCGACAGCCTCCCTTTGACCAGGTGCCAGGTGGGCTCCTCGGAGTCCTCTTCTCACGCAGGCTTCGCCCTTGACCTCGCTAGGCCCGCACAGCCCAGCCTTGGCAGGAGCCCCCCGCCCGTGGCAGGCCTCCTGAGGGAGGGCAGGCTTGCCGGGAGGGGCCATGGGGACCCCCGCATTTACAACCAGCCGGTCCGAGTGCCGGCGGCCTGGGGCTCCTCAAACCGCAGCTGACGACTGGGGCGAGGGCAGTGCGGCGCGGACGGCGGCCTCGGGCCTGCGGGGTGGGCCGCTGCCTGCGCGGCCAGCGTCGGAGCTGGGTCCCAGGGCGTGACCACAGGCCTTCAGGAGGTTCCGCTGGTCTGCACGGCCGCTCAGGGCCCCAGATGGCCCGGCGCATGGCCCGCCGAGCCTGGAGGACGGAGCGGAGGTTTGATTTTGATTTATTGTGCATTTTAAAAAGATCGTTACCTGAATGTTTTCTTTCGGCTCATTCTTGGACACAGACAAAACTAAGCCCACATGGAGAACAGTGAGCTTCCAGAACAACCTTGTGAAAATGGGCAACATGGTTCAGACAGCTATACCTCCTATTTATCAAAATAAAAACGGGTTAGTTTTAGTGGGTTTTTAAATTTCAAAAGCCTTCCTTATTTGAAAAACAGTATGTGTTCAATAGAGGGGAAAAAATGCAGGAAACAAAGTGAAAATAGTCCCCTTTTCCTAGAAACCCCTCTATTCAAGGGGGCCACCTCCCTGCCGTCTCCCTCTCTCGTCCGCTGCTGTTTTGTGAAGGTCTTCCCAGGCCAGCAGGTATCGGAACAACTGTAAAATGGGTTTGCAGTATTTCATCACTGGGGTAAACCATAAACAGTCCCCAACAGCTGACGTAAATTATTTCCGATTTTTCCGCTATAAAAAATACTCCTGTGATGAACACTCTTGTACGTCACCTCTGCGTGAGGTGATCATCTCCGTCGGGTCCGCGGCTGAAGACGCGGGGCCCAGGCCCGGGGTGTCTGCTCCCCGGTGTCCGTCGCGGGGCCCGCTCCCCGGGGACCCTCTGGTTCTCCGCACTTGGGGCGGCACTTCCCTTCGCCGCGGCCACAGCGGCCGTGCTCGGGGCGCCAGTGAAATGAATGTGCTGGATTCCTTAGGAATGGTCTATCTTTCTTGTATTTCTGGCAGTGTTTTTTCTTCGACGGACACCTTTCTGTTTGTGCATGTCCTTCGCCCACTTTGCTCTGGGGCGGTCATCTGCTTCTCGCTATTTATAGCAGTTTCTGTAGAGAGAGTGGGGCTGACAAGCCCTTTCGCACCCATCCACGTGCACTCCCAGCCGGTCGTGCTGCAGCTTCGGCCGCTGTGAACGGTGCAGTGCCTCTTCGGCAGTTCTGTAAACTGGTCACCAAAAAAACAGACACACACATGCGTGCACACCCCCCCACATACACATACAGGCGTGCGCACCCCTCCTGCTGCTGAGCCTTGGCTGCGCCTGGCCGGTCAACGGGAGGGATCCCCCAGGCCGGCCAGCTGCCAGGACTGGCTGTGACCAGGGACCTCCAGGGAGGGTCGGCCGTGCAGGGCCCACCCCGCAGGGCGGGACTTCCTTCCGCAGGACTCTGGTGCCCACGGCACCTGCCCTGTGCGTGTCACTCGTGGAGGTGGCTGGGTCTGACACTGTCCACCAAGTACACTGGCTCTGGGGCCTCCTGGGACAGGCAGACCAAGGTCGGCCACCGCCTGTGTTCTGTCCAGGACCCCCCCCCGCCCCCGGCATGAGCTACAAAGCCACCTGCAGGGGGCCACTCCTTGTGCTTGGCTTAGAGGTGCCCAGGAGAGGCCCAGCTCTCAACCAAGGCCGGCTGCTGCTGGTGCCAGGCCTGGGGCCACTCAGCAGGAGCTACGGGGCTCGCGGAGGCCAGATATAATTTACAAAAATCTGCTCCTTCGATATAATTTACAAAAATCTGAAGCACAGACCAAGACAAGCCATTTGTATGGACAAGCCACTGGAAACAGCTTGGGTGGGCCTGACCGCTGGGTGGGGCAGGGTCCCCGGGAGTCACCAGGGTGGGGCGAACAGTGGGACTCGGTGCTGCCTGCGGGCTCGTGCGGGGGTGGGGGTGGGGGGACTCATGGAGGGAACAGAGGCCTCTGCCAGCACTTCTGTCGGGGAGAGAGCTGCCCCCACCCCCCGCTCTCACCCTGATGCCGCACAGTTCACTGCCTCCCATGCGTCTCTGGTGCCTTTCAAGCTGCTGCTCCCACACTGGATGGAGCTCAGAGGGAGGGAGTCCAGGTGAGTCTGTGCGTGGGTCCTTTAAAAAGAGCTGCCAGGGACTCCAGAAGCTTCCGTCAATCCCCGCTGATTTTTACAGCCAGAAGTTACGGAACTTTTCTTCCCGGCACTGGACCCCGGGGCTGGAGGACCTGGTGTGGGGCGGGACCCCTCGCTCCTCAGGGGGGCCCCCGCAGATGAGGTGCCCCTCCTGATTTTCATCTGCCCCACGTGGGCGTGGGGCCAGCCGGCTTCCCGTCTCTGCCCCTCCTACCAGCGTCCCCGCGGCCTCTCCTTTCACTCTGCAGCGGCAGGGCTTCCGCGCGGCCCCGTTTCTGGCAGCTCCGCGTGACGGCAGTTCTGCAGCTGAGCCGCAGCTTGGACGTGGTGGTGGGAGGCGGCGAGGAGAGCGCTCGCCTCTGCCGCCACGCAGCCCGGAAGCCTGCGTTTCTCCTAATCTAAGCTGTTGCACATGTATAATAATTCAACAATATTTGTTATAAAAAGAAGTAAAAAACAAGACATAAAACTGAGTTTGTAGCATACTCATGATATAAAAAAAACTGTCCAACCAAAGGGAATAATATCAAAATAGCAGTTGTCTTCAGGTAGTAAACTAAGGATGACTCCTACTTCCTTTTTCCTTCGTAACAGATATTCGTAAATTCATGAATAAGTATCTATTATTTTTATAATTTAACCTTCTTAAGATGAAATACAGCAAGTCAAATAACTAAAAGTTGCTTCTGTTCCTCAAGCAATTATCTCCTCAGATACAGGGGTAAAAAAACTATCTGGCAACAGTTGCTCAAAATCATGGCCACACCAGCCACCTTGTACCTCACACAAGTACAGCGACACTGTCCACCGCCACCCGAGGGCAGGGCTGGACGCTTCCTGCACCGCCTCGCCAGCTGACGGCTGAAGAGAAGCTACCAGCTATCTTAGGGAAAAGGTAAGTATCTTCTTAAATTAAATCCCAGATTTCTCTCCCTTTTTACTCCTATAAAAGTGGTTATAATCAAATTAGAATGTATAGTCTATATACATACGCTAATGTATATATTGTATATGAAAATACTTTTCTCTTGGAACCTAACAAAATTCCAGTCCCCTTCGCCTTCAGAATACGGTGCTGAAAACCATAAAAAAGTCTGCTATACAAAACGAACTAAGATATGCTCTCAAAACCCAAAGAACAAGGCTGTGATGCTGAGGCAGTCTGGGGACCCATTAGGGAAAGGAAGGCCCGCCTGCGCTGCGGAAAGAGGCTGCTGAGTGCGCTGACAGGCGCGCCCGCCGCCTGCCCGCCTGGGGAGCCAGCGGCCGGGAGAACCGGCCCGCCGGCTGCGCTCCCAGGACCTCGGGGGCCGCGTCCTCCCTCCGCGCTCCTCTTCCGCTTCCAAGCCACAGAGCGAGATGCAGGCCGGGCTTCGAGTCGGGGCCGCGGGTAGAGGACGTGGGCTGAGACAGCACCGTACCCCGCTGGTGAAGTGTCAGCAAGAAGGAAGCTTCCGGGCTGCCAAAAGCAGGGGAATCCAGCGTCACCCTACACACTGGTGGCTGCCTAAAGGGCAGGACAACCAGAAAGCAGTGACGCCGTGACGCTGCACTCGAGGACTCACTCTGCACGTGCTCACAGCCCTTCCGCCCGGTGGCCTTTTCCAGTTTAATGAGTAACACCCGTCTCCTTGATTAGGGCCCCCAATTCTGCGTATGACGTGATAAAGCAGGCATGGCGCTGGCCTTACCACGTTCCTGCTCAGGCACAAAACAGCTCGCTGGGAGCACGCGAATGCCCCCACCTGCCCCCGAAAGGAGTCGGCCCCAGGGGCTTCTGTGAGCCAGTCCGTTCTGGGGCGGTCGCTCCACGCCCCCCACAATGACACTCAGGGGTGCTAGGCGGTACCCCTTCCCCCGGAGAGGCTGCCCCCGGGCCAGACGGCCACCGCCCGGCACACCGGCCCGCGCGGGGGACTCACCCCCCAGCTCCGGGGCGCCATCCAACCGCGAGCACAGCACACCCATCGCTGCCTCCGCAGGCGTTTACTTACAGAGAAAATGGGTAAACCAAGCCCCACCACGGTGAGGATAGCGGACGTGACGGTACTGTCATGGAACGGGTACTGGATGCTGTTGTCATTACAGAAAAAGCCTCTCTGAAATGGATATATTTGGCCCAAATTTAGAACAGCCATAGGCATGGAAGCTGTTGGGGAAGGGAAAAAAGATACATATGGTTACATTCACAGCACTGCATTAGGAAGTCAAGTTCACTGACGGGGGGCAAGTCCTAGATGTCTTCTCCCCGTTGGGGGAAACCACCAACGCTGCCCAAGAGCCCAGGGTGGACGCGGGCCCACTGCCCGCAGCCCCAGCCCCGCCCCCGCCCCCACCCAGTCCCGCTCTCTTATTGGCATTGACCTCTGAGTTCAGAGATGCTCGACACAACAAGGCTGGGGAGAGAGCAAAACTGGCCCAGGGGAAAATGAAGCTGAGAAAACAGCCTGGCTCTGCATTTTACATTTTGAAATGAATTCATTTTTAATTGAATTGCTTAGTATCTTAAAGCTATTGAAGAAAAAAAGGAGAGACTCAGTAAATACACTTAATAATCTTAACATCAAAACAGCCAGATAGTTGAGGAAAAAGGTACAAAATTGGTTCACATTAAAATTTAAATAGGATTAGAAAACAATAGAAATCATAAGAATATTTGATAACAAAACCAGGAAGAAGCCCTTTATATCCCAAGGACAAATTTAAAATGGTTTTTATCAGCTCTGGCAAGACCCCAAAATCACTTCAACAAGTTGAACAGGAATAATTTCATTTGAAATTTCTCACCCAAATAAAATGGAAGACCCAAGAGAAATTCAGTAAGTTCCATCAGTAGCTCCCTGGCCTGTTCACACTGACCGCGCTCCCCGGCTGGGTTAAACACGGAGCGCCCGCTCACCGCGCACTCAACAGCGAGTGCGTCCTTCCCCAGGGAGAGAAGTCAGTGTGAACCCGGCACCGGGTTCAGGGCCCGACCTGCACGCGTAGGAACCCAGAGGGCCGGCAGGGAGCTGCTTCAAAAGTGGAGCCAAGATACTAAGCACTTGTCCAAACTCAAAGGACTGTACAATAAAAGGTGAATTTTACTATACAATTTCAGAGAAAATGCCATAAAAAACAAAATACGACTAATTTCTAAAAGGGTATGAAAAGCCCTGCGGGAATTCAGAGGTCAACCGGAAGGAGAGCAGTGAGAGGGAAAGAAAAGGCAACCGAGCTGAACGTGAAAGCGCAGGAAACGGCCATGCAGCGGGCAGGGCTGCCGGGCACGTGCGGGGCGCGCGGGCGCGAGCGGGGCTGGGAGGCGCGGCCGCGCGCCGCCGGCTAGCACCGCTCGCAGGCACCATGCGCGCACCTGCCGGGCATGTGTGCTGCGCGCTGCGCCACCCTCCCCGCCCCCCCTGCTCACAGGCGGGACGGGTCCCACGAGGCTGCAGAACGCGGGCCTGGCTGGGACCCCGACGCGGAGCCGCAGCCGGCACAGGCCAGTACCGAGGTGGCACGTCCACAGCCTCCCATGAGGGCAGGCGATTGCCAAGGCCACAGGCTCGCCCTCCCCTAAAGCCCACTCCTCAGAGAGCCCCTGCAAGGTTCCCACCAGCGACAACTGGAAGTCGGCGGGGCCAAGTCCTCGTCAAGTGGCCGCTGCGCCCCGCAACGGTGTGCTTCTTAACAGGGGGAAGTGGGCTTGAGATTCTGTGTTTACCAAAGAGTTACGTTTTAAAATACTGGCCAAAAAGTTGCTCATCATGTAGGAAATAAAAGGCCCCTGTTCTCTCTTGCATAGGGTCAACACCTGGTAAAAGAAGTTTTAGAAGGTGTTTGGGTTTTTGTTTTTTTTTTTTTTGGTTTTTTTTTGTAAGTAGAAAGGGGAGCGTTCAATACAGCTCTGAAGCAACCCAGGAGCCATGCGCTGCGTCCTGCACGGACAGTGACCAAGAGCAGGCTGCACGGGAAGGGTCTGGAACCCAGAGGTGGCTCAGCTCGGTGGCTGGTCACAGGGCTGAGGCCACGGGCGGGCAACCCCGCAGAAGAGAGCCTCTCGCGCGCAGAGAGGGCGGCCTCCGGGGCGAGTCGGCACCTGCTTGGGCACAGCCCCGTCCTTTCCTCTCCCTTGCAGCCTTGAGGCTCCGTCGACAGATCGCAGGGAACCACACGCTGCTGCCTGAAGCGAATGTCTTTCCGAGCCCCGGGGGCCCTCGCGCACAAGGCGGGCAAAGGCCACGCGGCCGAGAGCGCGCCAGTCTGTGCTCGCGTTAGCCCTCGCTGGGAGGCGCTGCTGTTCCCACAGACGCCGGTAAACCCGCTCTCGCCCACCCTTTACGTCCCACCGTCCAGCGGGGGTGCTTGTCCTCCGTCTCTGACTCCTCGGCTCCCTACCTGGGCCCCGCCCGACACGGCAGCAACCAGAGGGCAAAGACTGTGTCCTCGTATCCTTTGCACCAGGCACACCCAGGGCCCTGAATAAAAATTTGCTGAATGGCTAATAAAATTCAGGATAAAGATCAGAAAGAGAGAGAGATACGCAAATTGTTGGCTTTAGAAGTGCAAAGGACAGAGTTCTCTGAGATAGCAAAGCCTGAGGTCACGAGGTCACGACTAAGACAAAAACACAAGAGACAAAAACACGGGCGAAGCACTAGTAGCCGCAGCGAACTGGACCCAAGACCACAGGACAGGAGAGAGAGGGGAGTAGGCGCCGCTGTGTGAGCAGAGTGGCCGCAGAGAAGCAGCCACCGCGGACCGCCGGGAGGGGAAGGGGGCCGGGCGCCCACACCAGGCCGCCCCAGAGGAGGAGGGGGGAGTGTAGACCAAGGGCCTGAGGCGCAGGGTGCGACTGGTGACCTGCAGAGGGCGCACCACCCCCCATCACAGGATCTTCACGAAGACATCTCCAGCAGGAGCTTCACTCGCAGGCACCAGAGTCCCCGCAGGGCGCCTGTCTTCAGGCTTGGGCGTGGCCACCACTTCCCCTACCACCCGCCTGCACAGCCCTGTGGACTGGGCCGCGTCCCCCAGTGCGTGGGCCGGACGTCTGACCACCATCTTTACTGCAGTAGGAGAAACGGCTCTCGGGAGGCAGCGAAGCCAAACGAAGTCAAAGGGTCTGGTCCCAACCCAACAGGAAGAGGAAGGGGGCAATCTCTCCCTCCAAACGCGCACCCAGGGAAGGCCCGGAAGCGGCCAGCACAGGGCAGCTCCACCAGGCCCGGCCCGGCCCGACCCAAAGGCCCCTGGCCTCGGAGCGCTGGCCCCCAGGCCTGTAAGAGACCATCTGCTGTTCCCGCCGCCCGGTCGACAGCACCCTGTGCTGGCGGCCCCAGCAGGCTACGGCAGACGCGCACACACACACAGGCACATCCGCCACCCTGGAGCAACACGCACCCGCGCCCTGAGAAGCAGGAACAGCCTCCGTCTGCTCCGGGCGCTCCTTCCAGTGCTGCTTTTCGGGGCGGCAGGGAGAGCTGCGGGCAGGAGGCGGCAGGACTGGAGGGTTCCTCCCCAAGAAACTCTTTCTGAGGACAGGTACGTTTTTTTCTCAATACATACAGGGCACAGAGGCTACTTTGCACCCTAACCATTTTAGAATGTTTTTCTCCTAATTAAAATTCCTCCTGAAGAGAAATCGCTTTGAAGCAGCTGGCCTTGCTCGCTGCACCTCGACTACGGAAGCGCGCTGGGCGCGGCCACGTGCACCTGCGTGGGGTCCCCTCCTGTCCCCCCCGCGGTCACTGACCCACTCCCTGCCTCACAGAGCCCGCGCCACTCACAGATGTGCTGCCAACAAACACTCCAGCGAAACAACTCTAAGGGGCATTTCAAGGACAGAGAAGGGCTGAAGTTAGTCAAGTCAGCTTCTAACATGGAGAAGCAAAAGTGGAGAAAAACAAGTGCTAAGTTTACTTTTTGAACAGAGTGAAATAAAGACCCTGGTTACTACTGCAGTGACTGTACTGACTTCAGCACCCAGCACCTTCCTCTGTTTCCTCAGAAGGTCCCGTGAAGATACCAAAATCAACATCACGCCGCATCACGAGGAAAGTCAGCTGCCCAGCCTCGGGAGCACCTCCTCTCCTCCTCCATTCCGGTGTTTCGATTCCCCCCCCGTGGCAGCCACGGTGCTGGGACTACAAGAGGGAAGGGAGGAGGAACACCGCCCCCGAACGTGTCCAGTGGGAGAGGGCTTGGGCCACGGGGCAGACGGGCCCAGGAGTGGCAGGTGGCTCCCCGGAGACGGGAAGGGCAGCAGGGCCCAGGGACAGAGCCCCCTCCTGAAGCTGCCACCCCCAGGCCTAACAGGCCCAGGGGCCCAGGGGCAGGACGGGGGTGGGGGGACGTGGGGGACCCACGCAGCAGCCCCGCCCCCGCCGCTGGGAGGGCGGGAGACAGTGCCCAGAGCAGGTCTGCACATGGCAAACCGTGGCGCGCCGACCGGCCGGCAACCGGCTCGGGGAGGCCCTCCAGGGTCTGGGCCAGGGCCGGTGCTGACCGAGGCAGAGCTGCTGAATGAATAAGTGAACAAGTGAGTCAACGAGTGAGCAAAAGCCCCCGAGGCACACCAGTAACAGCTGTGTGTAACCATAAATTTAGGTCCTGAGAGGTTTTAAGTGATTTTTCTCTCCAAAAGACTCAAGTTAAAACAAGCCAAGAAAAGATGGAAAAACAAAAAACCCACACTAGTCAACAATCTCAAGTCCAAGAACATGCCAGGGAAGCCCTTCTAATTGTATATCCTACCAATGACTTCTCAAGCTTGTTTCCCGCTGAGAACACAAAGGAGCGTTCGCTGCGAAAACAAAGGTGCAGCGGCCTAGCTGGTTAGAGCATGGTCCCGCCCCCGCCCGGCCAGGGCACAGGCACACACGGGGACGAGCCGGTGAACGCACCCGGGGAACAACAAATCGATGTCTCTCTCAAGTATATTAAAAAATGTATACCTTAGAAATTAAAAAAACATTCGATAACTTATTTTTTAAAAGCTCAATAAAGTAAAAGGAATAAAGAACAGAAATGAATAAAACGGAAAACTCAGATGAACAAAGCCAAACGAGTTTTTACCGGTTAGGGATCTGTCTTGTTAAAGGCTTAAGAGAATAAAAGAAAAACAAAATACAGAAAATTATTAAAATTTTTAAGGGTATCAACTCT